TTACCATTTTCTGAATTAAAATCTTACCATAACTTTAAACGAAACATGTATTAACTCTTCAAATACGTTAAAACTTCATTGTAGGCAGATAATTAGTAAATGTTTTTTATATGTACACGATTTTTTTAATTATATTCGTCAAAAGAAATGACATAGGAATAATTTTTTAATTCGTGAAATAAAGTATTGGCAGGTGAGGTTATGTTCATTCTAGCACTGCGAGCAGAATGCGAGAAAGGCGCTAGACTACAAAAGTGTTTCAAATGCTCTCAGCGCCACTACAGCGCAATGGAACGCGAGAGTGGCACCATGCTAGCGCCACCAAATTTTTCTACTAGGGATGAGGAAAGTTAAAATAATTAATTTGATATATTTTACTTAAGCATAAAAATAACTATCCGTCTCGTTATCAATTTAAATTAATTTTGCTCCAAATGCACTGTGCGTCTGTGTAATACAAAATTACTAAGAATTCATAAATTGTAGACCGTCAAATTGACTTCTTATTTATTTCTGTATTTTATTTTGACATTTATAAAGAAATAAATACGAGCTTTCTCAGCTCCTGACCAAAGAACGGCTTATTTTATAATTTATTGATAGATATGTACTTTTTTTCTTAAGTGAAAAAAAGTAAACATGTTATGCCAAGTAACTACAAATTTCCTGATTATTTAAATTTTTATTTTTGATAAAATAAGCTCTAGAATAATTCTGCATCTAAAAACAATCGAATTTTATTAATAGGTTGCTTATCGTGAAGTTAATACGTCAATCAGCGTACCTTACACAAACTAGCTCCATTGTATTGTTGACTCAGAATAACTTGACCTACTATAGTACAAAATCGTTTTTTTTGTTGTCATAATATCTTGAATTTAAGAGCTACGTGAGTAAAAAGTTCTGAAACGTGACACCTAAAACTTTAAAATTTTTTATTTTTTCCTAAATGTTAATTTTTCTGTAGCATTTTACATGAAAAATGACTATGTAAAAGGATTTTCGAAAAAAAAAATTCTTGTACATAAAAAATGTTTATTGTTTAATAAAGTGTACCCATGATGATATCAAAGCAAGACACCGAAACGTTGCACATCTAATGAAATAATGTTTCATTAATACTCTTCCGATAATTGTTTAAAAGAATATCAACAAAATTTTAAGGTACTGTTGTTATCAACAATTGAACATTTTTATTACTTTTTTAAAAAAAATTAATTTCAAAAAAACTTGTTAACCGATTTAAATTATTTAACAGAGTAGGTATTATTTTTGTCTTGAATCCAAATTTCAAATAAAAATTATTCTGTTTAAGGATATTGAATTTTAGTAAACCAAAAAATGGTCTATTTATAAAAAGTATGCAAAATACCACTATACCCATGAAATTTTAAGTTGAAAAAATTCTACTTATTCTTACCTTTTGGAATAATATTCCAAAATGGCGGATCCAATATGGTTGATAATTTTTTAAAAACTCCTTGGATTTGGCTAAAACTTTTTACACGGGGTTTTCTCGGGTCGCTGATTATGAATCTCAAGTCAAAAATTCAAAACTGTGGATCTAATATGGCGGACGAGTTTTGAAAAATTCTTTGATATATTGGATTCGACATTTAATTTTGAAATCTGAACTTCAGATTCGTAATCAGCCACTCTCTAAATTTGAATTAGTAAAAATGTTTACTAATTTGAATTAGTGACTGACTTTTTGTTTTTGAATTAGTAAATTTTACTAATAAATAGTTATTTCTACTTATGAAAAGTAAAATTTACCAATTCAAAAGCAAAAAGTCAGTCACTAATTCAAATTAGTAAACATTTTTACTAATTCAAATTTAGAGAGCACCCCAAAAATACATGAGTAACTTGTTTTAGCCGAATCCAATAAGTTTTTAAAAATTGGTCCGCCATATTGGATTCGCCATTTTGAATTCTGAAAATTGGACTACAGATTCGTAATCAGCGACCCCAAAAACCTCCAAGTAACAAAATTCAAGAGATTTTAATGACTTTCAAAAATTTCATACTTTAGGATGAAATTTTGTAAAAAAATTTAGTCTCTATTTTATAGCCGATATTTAGAGATATTTCTCTGCCATTTCATAGTGAAAAAAATTGAAAATGAAAGAAAAATTTGCAAAATCGGAGTTTTCTAAAAATAAATAATATAGGTAAAACTATTTGTTTATAAATTTTTAAGTTTTTTTATTACTTCATTCAATAGAGTGTATATGAAAACATATATCAAAAAATAATAATTGCAAAATTTTTCTACTTGTTGTTTGCCGAGGGGGTATATACTCCCGTATTGGAGTGTACATTCTTCTTGTAATAGTCGTGTAATATCGCGTAATAGGGCGTAATAGTACGTTATGACGTGGGTGTAATACCTAGAAATATCTCTGTATTGCCCTGTAATACTTGGTAATAAGTGTAATTTTAGCGTAATAAGTGTATTGGAGTGTACACGCTTTCAACCAGTAAATACCCCCTCGTTGTGTGCAGTATAATATTATAAAATATCAACTAAATTAATCATATGATTGATTATAAGTATTTTCCAATAGTTACACGGTATAAAGAATAAAGAATAGAATAAATTATAAAATTTTATTCCATTTAATTCTAAAAATTCACATTTTTTCAATCCAAAGTATAAAATAGATAAATTTGTAAATTTTTATTTATTAAAATTCACTTGAGGCAAAATATATGAATGGAAACTTTTTCATTTCATCATTAAATGGTATTTAAAAGAATTTAAAATCTATTCAAGTTTGGGAAAAGAAAATATTCAACGTTATACTTCTTCTAGAAGGCATTCTTTGTGATTAAAAAAATTATAAATGTACTTAAAATAATAATTTAATAAAAAATTACACAGGGACACAAAAAATAAAAAAATTTGTGACCCAGAGGATAGACAATTGAAGCGTTTTGTGCAGAAACAGCATAAGTCCATAATTCGAAATTGTTCAGGAATCAATAAAAACTGTTTTTCTCGTAAATGTTAAGATTTTTTTTAATTCGGCTTTTTGGATTATATTCTACTAACCTATAAGTTAAAAAATCCAATATAATTAATTAATTATCTACTTAACATAAAAAATTAAAAAATTAATTAACATTTGGACTTATGCTGTTTCTGCACAAAATGAAATGAAAAACACAGAAAATTTATTAAATTCAGTGAAATATCACAGTTTTATGAAATATTTAATAACATTTATTTAAAATATTAAATTTGGATAATTTTTAGTAACATTTTATAAATAATAAAATTGTTTTAAGAATAAATTTAGCCAATTTTCAATATTTTCTAATTTTAAAATAATTCAGTCACCACTGTCACTTTTTGCTTCCCATGAGTGTTTTTATTTATAATATAAACTGTTTAATATAAATTATTAAAATACGTCAAGAATATCACAAATAAATATAAAAATTATCATGGACTTGTGCTGTTTCTGCACAAAATGATATTTTAATTATTTTTTTTAAGGGTTTAGAGTTTAGTCACTTATGTAATATTTTACCAGATTAAAAAGCTTCATTTAAAGATAAATTTTCAATAAAAAAGTGATTTTTGAAAAAAATGGACTTATGCGGTTTCTGCACAAAACGCTTCAATTATATTCCTACGTTTTTGGGGTCGCTGATACCGAATATGACCATAACAAATTTTTTAAATGGACTATTTTCCTGCTACTAACTCCTTTACACCCCCAGACGGGAGTGAGGGGGTTGGCATTTCAGTTTTCAAAAAAAGTCGAGTAGGGTGTCTATTTCTATGTTTTTTGGGTCTCTGAAACCGAAAAAGACCACCAAAAACAAGAATTTTTGTACATTGCTTAACAAAAGTTTCTGAAATTAAATTTTATAAATTATGTTTCACTAAAGAGATACAGGTTGCATTTGGAATGGAAAGAAATTAATGTTTTGCCTATTCCGTCCAAATTGAGGGGAATAAAAATTAAAAGATATTTTTCGGGATTAAATAGAAAAAGAATTTTAAATTTTAGAGAATATGAAAATATTTTAATTCTTCTCTATTCTCTCTAAATTTGAATTAGTATTTATTTATTTTTATTTATTTATTTATTCAATTAGTATTTATTAGTATTTACTAATTCAAAAGCAAAAAGTCAGTCACTAATTCAAATTAATGAAAATTTTTTTAATTCAGATTGAGAGAGTTCCATTATTCATGCACTGAAAAAAAATTTATTTGACTCAAGTACCCGATTACTTATCTATTATTAACAAATAAATATTCACTTGAATCAAGTATAATTTTTATTTAAATGAAATTATATTTTTGAAGCAAATACTAATTCGTTGATTCGAAAAAAATTTTTTCATTTAAGTAAATATTTATTAGATAATAGACAATTAATCTAAATTAGGTTATTTGAATCAAATAAATTTTTTCAGTGTGTTACCGGGTAAAGTATTATTCTTCTAAAACACTTTATACTTTGTTAGGAATTTAAGATAATTGGAAAAAATTTTGAAAATCGTGCATTTTATTTTGATAATGTACCTTTTTTGAAAGAAACTTTGTTCACTTCAACTGAAATTTCCTATAATACGAATACATTATTTTAACGAAAAAGATCAATAAATTACTAAAAAACGAATTTTCATTTTATAGCTTATCTAATTGAATAATGAAAAAGAAAAGCAAATATTTATATTTTTCTCAAATAAAGTATATATGTGTGTGTTAGGTTGTAAATTTGTAATTAAAATTATTAGAGTGAAACAAGTGTTATGCTGCTAAACGTGTATAAAATCATTCAAGTAGTAGTAGCACGTCTTGGTGAGACACGACGCCACACTAATGTTCCATTCTCCTGCAGTGGGTACTCGTAAAGTATAGATTCAGAATCCATGTGCAAGCATTGAACTTTTTTTATATTGAAATAGAATAAAATAGGCGTGGAACATGTTTTCTATTTAATAGATGATTGAACAGTAAATTGACGAATGCTTACCATTTTGAATATGACTAAAAGTGTCTTGTGATATTCTTTGTAAGTGGAAAAAGACCGATTTGGTCAGACCAGACGGCTCTGTTCATGCCGAGAGGGAGACTAGCGCTTTTCCACGACCAGGCGAGCCTTGGTACTAGATTGTCTTCAACCTCAGCGGCGCATGCAGTCGCGCACCCGCACCCACTACTACTTAAGAAATCCATCATATGTATATACGCTACTTTACGTCACTTTACGTTATTACAATCAATCTAAGGTGGAATTGACACTCGCTTTCTGTGAACCGGGTGTAGTACAATTAGGAGCAGGGGAAACAATTATTATACTATTTCTCTTATAATTTAACCTTGTTAACGCACTAGTTTTTCAAACTTATTTTCAGAATATAATGTATATAGTAAAATTAATTATTTCTTCAATATTTAAAAGAACATTTTTTTAAAGTTACACCCTTTAAATATTTCTGTTCGAAATTCGTGTATTTCGCTAGAAATATCCATCAAGTTTTGTGTGGCATTTTAAAATCATTCTTTTGAACAAAAATTTGTGCCAATTTTATACAAAAATTGTCAATACAAATTTTTTATTTTATTTTAATTTTCACTTAAATTAATTTTATTGTAATTTAAATTTCTTGTACTCTTTGAAAATAAAATTTTATGATTCTTTTCAAGTTTATTTTATCTGTCCGTATTTACGGGGTATAATAATTTTGAAGAATTTTAAATAATAACGTTTTTTTGAATGCTTATAACTTTTTGAAGAAAGAATCAGTTTGAATTTTTTCTTTTGAAAATTCTGTTTTTCTACAAACTTTTCAAAAAAGAAGTGTCCCTAGGCCTATTTCTTTAAGGGGAGTGACACCCTTCAGGTCTTTTTTGAACCTGTTTTTCATGAATTTTTTTGACACAGAAATAAAGTTTTTCTAAAACTTCAAATTTCAAAACCCTTTAAAATTTGATAATCTATAATACTTATACTATACTGTGTAACCTCTCCAAATTATTTTAAAGATTTCAATTCCTTAATTTTCTATAATTTTTAACCAAAATTCTTCTTTAAAGCAATTATTTTTAATGATTTGAGAAAGTTCTTTAAAAATTCCATTATTGAAAGAAAATAAAGTTCACCCGAGTCAAAATTTATGACCTACTTTAGACCCATTTGATCCTATTTGAGAACCTCATGGAAGCCTCATTGGTTCAGAAGTCTTATTCAAGACCCGTTTTGGTCTATTTTTCTTACAAAGAGCCTTATTTGAAACCCCGTTAAACCTAATGATTGAACCTTTTCGACTTCACTGCAAAAACAAGTGTCTCATTTTGAGACGTTTTGTCCCATATTTGAAACACATAAGATGTCTTAGTCCACATATTTGAAACAGATATGTGTCTCATTTTAAGACGTTTCAAAGTGTCTTACACATTTAGCAATGCATTTTGAGACACGAAATGTGTTTCGAGTATCCGTCTCACACTAAGAAGACGTTTTACGTGTCTTATACGCATTGAGTTACCTTTAATGTCTTAAAATGAGACACAAGATGAAATTAAATGTCTCAATATAAAACAGATTTTGTATCTCAATGGTTTAAACACTTAAAGCAACTCATTTTAAGACACGACTGTGATACCAGTTTTTGCAGTGTTAATAATAGTCCCACACAGCACATGATATTTCCTAAATATTTCCTGAATATTTCACTGAAAGATTGAAATATTTCAGTGCAAAGTTCTAGAAATATTTCTGCAAACAGGAAAATGTCCGCTTATGTGGGAATATTGACGCGAAAGTTGAGAAAATATTTCATTGAAATATTCCTGCAATATTACACATAAAGATTCTGCAATATTGTGAAAATATTTCACAAAATGGAAAAATTTGTTAAACACCTCAAACCAATAGGAATTTTTTGAAATATTTTTAAACCCATAGGATATAGTAAGCCAAAAACTACTGCGCAGCTCTACAGGCCATAGAAACTGAGTTCGACCAGTGCACATCATTTCAGTTGAATATTTCCAAAATATTTCAATGAAATATTTTCTCAACTTTCGCGTCAATATTCCCACATAAGCGGACATTTTCCTGTTTGCAGAAATATTTCTAGAACTTTGCACTGAAATATTTCAATCTTTCAGTGAAATATTCAGGAAATATTTAGGAAATATCCCAAGTGCGAAATGCCGAGACTGCAAAAACGGCCAATCATTGGTGCAGTAATGTCTGCCGAGAATTGGCAGTAGTTACTGGGCCATTATTGGTGTTCAAAACGTCCCATTACTGGGCCAATGATGGCGCCGATGGTCAGAATTTCAAATTTTTTAAGACTGGGCCAGCTCTCGGCCCAATAATGGCACATTCATGGCAAAGTTGATCAATCTTTAATGGCAAAAGACAATTGCCAGTGATGTGCCGACCATCGGCCCAGTAATGGCTCATTATTGGTGCTTTAATGGCAAAAAATTTGTATCGTTCATGGCAAATTATAATTACCAGTATTGGGGCGTAGCTTGGCTCAATAACGGCACGTTATTGTCAAAGTTGATCAATCTTTAATGGGAAAATTCAATTGCCAGTGATGTGACGAAGATCGGCCCATTAAAGGTACATTAATGGCATTTTAATTTGGTAAAATTTTTTATAAGAATTTAATTTTAAGAAACATTCAGTTATTCAATAAATTATTTATTTTGTATTTAAATAATAGAATAAGCTTGAAAAGGATTCAAATTAAAATATTCGAAACTTTGAATTTTCTATATTTTTAATTTTAACTGTCAATTTTAAAGAATTAATTTTTTTGAAAAAGTTTAATTAAGTATTAATTTAAAAAAGAAGTTATTAATGTTTTCAAATAATTTTACAATTAAAGAAATTCGTAAATAAACGTAACAGAAACCTTTTTTTGAGTAAAATTTTTCCTTTATTATCTAAAAATTAAGAAATTTTCAATTTATTCAATAAATTATTTATTTTTGCATTCAAATAATTAAATTCTCGTAGAATTTTCTAGTAAAAATTGATTTCAAAATGGATTCTAGTCAAATTTTTAGATAATAATTCAATATTAAAAACATACCATGAATTTTGATATTAAAATTTTTTTAAATTCAATTGCCAATGATGTGACGAAGATTGGCCCATTAAAGGCACATTAATGGCACTTTAATGGCAAAAATGTTGTATCTTTAATGGCAAAATATACTTGCCAGAATTGGGGCGTTGCTTGGTCCAATAATGGCACATTCACGGCAAAGTTGATCAATCTTTAATGGTAAAAGACAACTGCCAGTGTTGTGACGAAGATCGGCTCATTATTGGCACTTTAATGGCAAAAAATTTGTATCTTTCATGGCAAATTATAATTGCCAGAATTGGGGCGTTGCTTGGTCCAATAATGGCACATTCACGGCAAAGTTGATCAATCTTTAATGGTAAAAGACAATTGTCAGTGATGTGACGAAGATCGGTCCATTAATGGCTCATTAGTGGCACTTTAATGGCAAAAATTTTGTATCTTTGATGGCAAAATATAATTGCCAGAATTGGGGTGTAGCTTGGCCCAGGAATGGCACATTAATGTCTATCACTTTGTATCTATAATGGCAAATTATAATTTCCAATATTGGGTCGTAGCTCGGCCCAATAATGGCACAGTATCGGCCAGTGTAATGAAGCTTATAAGAACCCTTTTGCTTCCTCGACTTCAAGTCAGAGTAGCAGAGTGGTCAGAGTGTTAGGCTGTGGTGCGTCAGGTTCAGGTATCGATCCCCGCGAGAGGTAAGAATTTTTCAAATATTTGTAAGTTTGCGTTTAATTTAGGGAAATAAGCCGTATAAATGTTATAAATTAATTAGTTAATTGAATAAAAAAAAATTTATTTTTATTTTTTCTAATTTTGTCAACACTGGGGGAGTAATGGCAGCCAATATTGGGCCATTAATGTCTGCTGAGATCTGGCTGCCAATAATGGGCCATTAATGTCTGCCGAGATCTGGTGCCAATATTGGGCCATTAATGTCTGCCGAGATCTGGCTGCCGACGTCCAACCGCTGTTAACACCACAAGAGTCGGCGCAAAGTCGGGCCAATATTGTCTGCCAAGTCTCGATGCCAGCTTTGCCAATACTGGGCCAGTGTTGGGCCGCGTTGGTTTTCGCACTTGGGATCATGTGCTGTGTGGGGTTTGATCTATTTAGAGCCCCGTTAAACCTATGAGCTTTATATGTTCTTGTAAATATTCGCCACACTGTATTTATTAGAATTTTTACACTTTCAATATTTATAAGTTCCAATTTTTATTTTACCAAATCTTAAAAAGTACGTAGAATTTTTATTAAGCAGAATTTTAGTCGAAGTTTTATGTAACATATTCTCTAGTTCACTATATATATTTATAAATTAGCAAAATTTGCTTTAATAGTAATTTTAATTTAACCTTATTTTTTTTTAATATAACAGCAAAAAATATTCACTTAATTACATTTATCAAACTAAATTCAAAGTAAACAACATTTCTGAAATCCATTTGTTTACAATAAATTCAATTTTATAAATTTTTAAAATTCAACTAATTTAAAAAAATTTTGAATTAAAATATTTTAAAACGTAACGTTTTCGAAATTATTAATTAACCCTTTCGTGCCTCCGGGACATATGTGCATGTCCCACTTACAAAAATTTATGTTATTCTTATAAAATTCAACCAATTAATTTGCGGTAAATCTAATTTTTCAAAATTTCCTCAAATTCGATTAAAACCTCTTACTCGGGGATTTTCTGGGTCGCTGATTACGAATCTAAAGTCAGATTTTCAAAATTCGTAATAGTGAGAATTTTTTTCAAATCTGACCAAATTCGCTTGAAACTTGCTATTCGGGGGTTTTAGGGTCACCATTTTGAATTTTATAAATCTGACTTCAGATTCATAATCAGCGACCCCGAAAACTCACGAGTAACATAAGTTTTTTGTAAATTTGAGAAATTTTGAAAAAATGTCCGCCATATTGGATCTGCCATTTTGAATTTTCAAAATTTTGAAAATCTGACTTTAGATTCGTCATCAGTGACCCTATAGTTTATAAATCAAATTAAAAAAATATTTTCAAAGACTGATGGAAACCGAAATCCAGAATTTTCATATTTTTCCAGTTCTTTTGTTAAGGTAGGGGGAAGACCACGGAAGTTTAGCTTGGCGCAGGGGTTACTTGGTGCACTCGACTTTATTCGAAAGGTTTTTTTCACCACTTTTTTAACGGTGTATGGATTTTTTGAAAAAATTCCAAATTTAACTTATTTTTTTTTAAATCAAAAATATTTTTGACTTTTTTTTAAAGAATTTTAAAAATAATGTTTGAGATTTCGTTAAGAAATCGTAGAAAATAGAAATTATGCAAATTTTTTAACAAAATTTGAAAATAATCTTTAGTTAAAAATCGTAATTAGAAATTATAGGAATTTTTTTCTAAAGATATTTAAAATTTTCTAAAAAAATGTTTTATAAATATATTAATTTTGGAAATTTTGATATAAAAATGATGCAAAATTATTATTATTTTTTTTCAAAGAAGAACAGAATTTTGTTAAAATATTTTGATAAGAAATAGTAATTTTATAAAAAATTTTTCTTTTTTTCAAAAAGAAACTCATAAATTTGTGAACAGAATTGTGATTGAGAAGCAGAAAATATGAAAAATAGTTTCTATTTTCTAATCTTAATTTTTTAACAATTTTCTAACTTTAATAAAATTTATGGAATTTCACAAATTTCAGGAAAATAAATATTAGAAATCATAAATTTTTAGAAAAATTTTTTTTAGAAAATTATCGATTCTGATTTTTGCCAAAGAAATTAATGACAATAAAGCATCAAATATTTAGGCAGTTGAAAATTGAATATCATTTGGAAAATTTGACAAGAGTTTTTAAACAATTTCAGTTGGATTAAAAGAGGCAAGAATGTCACTAGGAATTGCTAAACATCGATTTCGGGAACTCAATCAAGATTGTGTGATCTTTCCAAAAATAATAGAGGGAAAAATAAATACTGAACAATTTCTTGACGCCTCACAACAACTAGTACAATTAATTAGTAAGTTTAAAAAATGCATGTAAGATTTAACCCTCAATTTTTGAAGCATTGGAATAAAATTTGAACATCTACACTTATTTTCTAATTTAAAAGTTTAATTTTAATTATATCAGTTCTAAAAGATTAAAATTGTGTGTGAAAATCACGTACAAAATGATGTAAATATTTAAAATAAATTTTTTGAAATAGATAAATTTGGAAAGTTATTTGCACCAATGAAATATGACATGCAACAAAACATTGACGTAAGGAATTAATAAAAAAAATGCATAATAATTCTAATCTATAATAAATATTTTAATAAATTAAGCTCGTTTTTATTACTCTTTTTGCGCCATCAAACATCGTTTTAGAAATTAAATGCAAAGTTTAACAACGACAGAGATAATCATTCCACATTACAAGATATGATTTTAATTGAAAAGACCACTGGAAATAACACTATCGCAATTGAAGCTTTATTGTGGTTACGAAGGTACAAAATCTAATCACGCATCTATAAAAAATTGTTTTTATATTTAAAAATAAATTCTCTTAGCTAAAAAAAGTAGATGTATCCAATTTGTGATAAATATTTATCACCAATTGTAATTTAATGCAATAAATAAATATATTTTAGAGGAATGTACATGATCCAGTTATTTTTTGAAAAAATTGTTCAAGACCATAAATCTGGCCAAGCTACGGAAGATTTAGTAGCTTGTTTGAAAAAATCTTACAAAGAATCTTTAGAACCATATCATGGATGGATGGCACAACAATTATTTACTGTGGGTATTTCTTAAAAACAAATCCTAAATCTACATTTCATTTAATTTTTCTAATTCAATCGTTTACTTTCTACATTATCGAGTAGGTACATTAATTATAAATAAAAAATAAATTTTTCATTATAAGTAAATCGTGACCTACATTCATTTAAAAAGTTTGAGAAAGAATAAATATAAATAGAATAAATACAAGTAAAACAAATCTACTAAATCCTATTTACTACTTTTACGTTGTCCTACTATTTGGGTACTTTTTTTAGATTTCAGCCACTAAAAGCTACTATTTCAGTTTTTTTTACAATTTCCACTAGTTTAAATTCAATTATTTTTAATACTATTTTAAATTATTTAAGGAAGCGTTCACAAATGATGTCACGCAATTTTTCGGGATTTCAGACCCCCCTCCCCCTGTCATGCAATTTCATATGTAAAAATACATTGTGTCACGTTTAGTAGAGACCCTCCTCCTCCCAAAAACGTGACATCATTTGTGAACGCTCCCTAATCGAAAAATTCAATTATTTTCCCAAATAAAATTTTCCACAAGAATTTAGTTATTTAAAAACAATTTTCATGATATTCATTATTCCGAAAAAAATAATTATTTAAAACAATGTTTATAAATTCCTTATGAAGAATTCAATTATTTTCAAAAATAACAAAAATTTTCACAGATATTCAATTTTTTAAAAACATTTTAATGGAATTTTTCTCAATAATTCAATTATTTTCATAAAAAATAAAATTCTTCTTAGGAATTCAATTATTTTTGAAAATTATAATAAAATTCCTAGCAACTATTCATAATTATTGTCATAAATAATAAAATTCATCGCAGGATTTCAATTATTATTTTTAATAGGTACAATTTTACAGAAATAGCTTGAAAAATGTAATTATTCTTAAAAATTTAATTTCAATTCCTCGAAAAAATTAATTATTTAAAAAAAGGATTTTTTTAAAATTCTTTGGAAAAATTTAATTATTAACAAAAATTTTAAAATTTTTCACAGAAATTTAATTATTTTCAAATATTTTAATAAAATTGTTCCAAATAAATCAATTATTATAAATACAATTTTAATTAAATTTTTTTGAAATAATTTAATTATTATTCTTTTAGATTTTTATAAAATTCTTCGAAAGAATTCAATTCTATCGATAAATAACAAAATTATTTCCGAAAATTCAATTATTTTGAGGCATTTTAATAAAATTCTTTGTAAAATTCAATTATTTTCATAACTAACAATATTCATCACAAGAATTCAATTATTTTTAAAAGTAATAAATTTCTTCTTGTAAATTCAATTATTTAAAAAAGTTCTAATAAAATCGTTCGCAAGAATTCAATTATTTTCAAAAATAATAAAATGGTTTTTAGGAATTCAATTATTTTAAAAAAAATTTCATAAATTAAAATTTTCGAAATTCAATGATTTTCAATATCTATACTATTTTCATAAAATTTCTAAATAGAATTCAATTATTTAAAAAAAATTTTGTAAAAATCTTCGTAAGAATTCAATTATTTTAAAGAATAATAAAAATTTCTCAGGAATTTAATTACATATTTATTTTTCCACAGGAATTAAATATTTTAACATAATTTAAATGTAAAGTCTTTTTGAATTTTAACTATATTTGTAAAAATTACAACTTTAATTTTTCCCAAATTCAATTATTGTTTTTGTTGCAATTTTTGAAAAAAAATTTCCGAAACTTTAATCATTTTATTTGAAAATACAAATTTTAATATAATTATGTTTTAAAAACAATTAAAATTTTCAAATTTTTTGAAGTTTAATTAATTCAAAAACTTTTTACTACAATAATGCTTTCAATATTCAATTATTATCTAAAATTTTAGCTAAAATAAAATTTTAAATCAATTCTTGTTAGAAAGTTCTATTCAATTATTTAAATACAAAAATAAATAATTTATTGAGTAATTGAATAACTTTTAAAATTGAATTCTTATAAAATTTATCAAAAATTTTTGAAAATAATTGAATTGTTATGAAGAATTTTATTACAATTTTTGAAAATAATTATCAAATTTTCATAAGAAAATTATAACAAATTTGTTTAAATAATTCAATTTTTTCGAAGAATTTCAATAAAATATTTAAGAATAATAATTGCATTTTTTAAGGGGAATCCATTAAAAATTGTATTAAAAATAATTGATATCCTGCGATGAGTTTTATTATTTATGAAAATAATTGAATTCTTGCAACGAATTTTATTAAAATTTTTAAAAATAATTGAATTGCTGCGAAGAATTTTATAAAAATCTTATTAAATAATGGATTTTTTTCAAAAAATGTTATGAAAATTGTATTTTAAATAGTTGAATTCATTTGAAAATTGTATTATTTATGAAAATAAATTAATTCTTTTCGAAATTTTAAAAAAAATATTGAAAGTAATTGAATTTCGAAAATGTTTCGCAAATAATCGAATTGTTTGAAAAAATTGTATTTTGTAATTTTTTGAATTGTTTCTAAGAATATTATTAAAATTTTTTAGAATAATTTTGTAGTCCAAGTATTAGTGAATTTAAAATAATGCAAATTCTCAAACATAGAAAAAAGTAGCTTTTAGTGTCACAAATCTGAAAAAGAATCCAAATAGTAGCAAAACGTAAAAAAGATAATAAATATTAGGTTTTAGTAGATGAGTACGAAGCCTGTTATTTTCTAAAGTAGAATATTGCTTTAAAATAATTTTTAATTAATAAAATAAATAAAAAATTTGATTTAATGTATTAAACGATCATTACGAGTAAATTATGTTTAATTGAGATAATTATTGTAGTTGCTTGCACGCATGGTTCCAACAAGAACTCAATTATTGCAAATTCTTACTAACGGACATGAGGATAAAGAAAATGAAGTTTTACAAAATATAGATGAACTTTGCAAAGGGTTAAAAGTTATCGTATTATATTTACAAGAATTCTACATTTTAAATCATTTAAATAATACTTAACACGTGAGACACTAATTTAAAATTATTTTTATAATTTTATTCCTCTTTATTTTTGTTTTTTTTTATAAATAATGTTCAATGACAAACTTTATTAAAAAATAATAAATAATAAATAATAATTTATAAAAAAGTAAACTTTCCAAATACAAGATTTATTTAAATGAATAATACAATATTCAGTATAATTTCACCTAAAATATAGTAAAAATATAAATTTAATGTTTAAAAATAAAAGAAATAAAAATTAGTCTAATTTATCTTCCACTCCATATAATTGTCCTATGTAAAATCTTTTAGCATGCGAATCAGCTAAATTTCTTAATGCCATTGTTCCTGTTATAATTTCTCCAAGTAGAAAAATTATTGCCAGAATGTTAGCAATTTTTTCACTTAACACAGGAATGTTTTTTGTATCAAAAATGAGAAACAACTCGAGTGGAAGTTGCAGTAATGTTGATATTAACCAAAAACTTGCCAGTTCAGGAATCTAAATGAACAAGATTTATTTATTAATAAATTATTTAAAATTCACTTTTATTTTCTATTTGCATTTAGAGCGAAATACTACATACTTTTATTGCTAAATTTCCCAGGTAACCCAGATATAATCTCACGCCTTCTAAAATAGTTACGGCAATAAAAACAGCAACACTTATGAATTGATAGACATCACCTAATTTGTAGTACTGAAAAAAAAAAACAGTTTTTGTTCGTTTATTATAAATTTTATAAAAATAAACAAAAAATACGTGAGTTTCGAAATTTGAAAATTAACTTTTTGTCGTAATATTTACTTTTGCATCCAGGCTGCATAGAAGAATCCAAATCCAAACTGGGTAGAACCATACATTGAAGTATAGAAATATTTGCAATAATAAATTGGATCTCACTTCGATTCCTAAGTAAAATGAAGGAAAAAACAGTTTTCAAAAATCACATTTTTAGCTTTTAATAGGAAATCAGTAACCTCTTAATGGAATCTCTCGTTAGCACTTAATTAAAATTTCCATAGACACAAATTGTCATATTTTGATAACATAAAATTGAAGAATCTAAATTTCTAAAAGAAGAGTAGATTAAGTAAATTTATTTTTCTTACCAATGTCAAAGAACTCTTTATTATGGTGATGATAAACTAAGCCAGGAAAAATGCGATCAGATGCGCTAATAATAGAATTCCTCAACATATTTCATTCGTTTTTACTATATGTCTATCTGAACAGGAAAAAGAATTTCTTGAAAGGAACCATTCTGTAAAAATGAGAAAAATAAATATTAGGTAAATAATAATATTCTTGAAAAATAAATTAAAACCATGAAATAGTATATTGTGTGGCAAGGGCGGCAATCGTACGAGGTCAGAATTGACATTTCCGCCCGAGTTGCACACGATATTTTTTGTCCAAATGCGCGATAAACAAGACGCATCCGTAAATTCAAAAATGAATATGCACTAATTATTAAATGTGTATGAAACATTTTTATTAAGCCTAAGGCGAATCCGAATATTTTTGATAAATTTAACAATAAAATTTTACTTAAAAATTGACTCCATTTTGATTTGAAGTAATAGAAAGTGATAATATAATATTTAGTAGTATTTATTGAATACTGCTAAAACAGCGGGCGGAAAAGTCGTTTTTCCGCCCGCTGTTGGTAGTCGGGCGGCAAAAGCTTACTTTCCGCCCGCTATGCTTGCACGGAAAGTCGAGTTTATCGCGCATGTAGGACAAAAAAAATGTTCTGTTACATTTATTTACAAACTTCTTTAATTGTAAAATTATTTAAAAACATCAATAACTTCTTTCTTAAATAAATTATTATTAATAATTATTTTTTATTTTATTATTTTTTATTTTATTATTTTTATTATTTTATTTATTATTATTATTAATAGAGATGTGCAAAAAAAGATGTGCACTCGAGTACTCGATACATCGAGCCGGCTTGGGCTCGGCTTGGCTCGGCTCGGAAATTCGAGCTTTTTTTGCACATCTCTAATTATTAATAATCATTATTATTTTTCTGTAGGAATTAAAATTTTTCAAAATATTCAAATTTAAACCTTTTTGAAATTCAACAACTTATAAGAATATAAGAAGAAGACTCGGAGTGATCGTCTGCTTCATGTTTTGTAATAATTTAAATTGCCAAAAAATTTTTAAAATAAGTTAATTATTTACAAAAATCCTAAAAAAATCCTTCGCAAGAATTCAATTATTTTTACAAGAAGTACAATTTCACAAAAAAATTTAATTATTTAAAAAAAATGTAATAAAATTAGTTGCAATAATTCTTATATTCTAAATTCTTTGATGAATAATAAAATAATTCGTTGGAGGAATTCAATTTATTAGCAGGATAAGAAAAAAGTAAATATTTTTGATGAAAATTAGGAAAAATTTAGGAAAATAAAAAACATGGAATGGAATTTTTGTCAATTTTGTGAAGCGAATAAGACGAGTATTTCTGGTTTTTTTTACTTAAAAAAATGACAATAACCCACAAAAATTAATTTTCAAAACAAGCAAATGAATGCAGAGAATTTGCTAACGGAAAGGAAACTTACAATTATTATAAAGTATAAGTATAAGTATAAGTATATATGTAAGAAAATAAAAACTTCAAATAACTTTAAAAGAATTCAATTACTCTTTTTAGAAGAAATTAAATGTAAACAATTTTTAGTTAAAAGTATGAAAAATTATAATTTAAAACCTTTTCAAAATTCAATTTTTTCTAAAAATTTAAGCAATAATACTTTCTCTCTAAATTTGAATTAGTAAAAATGTTTTCTAATTTGAATTAGTAACTGACTTTTTGCTTTTGAATTAGCAGATTTTAATAATAAATAGTAGTTTCTACTAATTCAATAGTAAAATTTATTAATTCAAAAGCAAAAAGTCAGTCACTAATTCAAATTTAGAAAGTTTAATATTCAATTTATTATTATCTAAAATTTTAACTGAATTTTCATATTTCAATCCATTATTATTAGAAAACTCTAAAAGAACTCAATTATTTAAATACAAAAATAAAGAATTTATTGAAGAATATTGAATGTTTTTTAAAATGAAACTCTTATAAAGAATTTTATCAACAAATTTTTAAATAGGTAATTAAAATTTTTTGACGAATTTTAATAACAATTTTACGTATCATTTCATTTTTCGCGAAAGTAGATTAAAATATTGTATTAAAATAATTGAATCTCTGTAAAAAATTTCATTGAATTGAGAAAAGTTTTTGAAAATAATTGAAATGTTGTCAAGAATTTTATTAAAATTTTTGAAAATAATTGAATTTTGGAGTAAAAGTTTATTATTTATAAAGATAATTGAAATAATTGAATTCTTGCGAAGAAATTTATAAAGAATTTGTAAATAATAGAATTCCTGGGAAATTTTTATTACTTATGAAAATAATGTAATGTTTGCGTAGAATTTTATTCAAATCTTTTTTAATAATGAAATTCTTTTGGAAAATTGAATTATTGCGAAGAAATATTGTAAACGAAACTCTTTTAAAATTAAATTAATTTTGAAATATGTATAAGAAAAATTAGATTTCAAGAATAAGCACAATAACTTTAAAAAACAATAATTTTTCAGGATTTCTTAAAAGAACTTTTGTATAATTTTAAAAAAACTAATTAATTTCTAAAAGAACATTTACTTAAAACTACAAATTCAATTTTTAATAACTATAAAACATGAAGATATCAATAACTCAGAGTCTTTGACTCGGAGTGATTGATTTCTTAATGTTTTATATTAATTAAATAATTTCAATTATTCGTCAATTCTTCAATTAAAACTATATTAGAAAACGAAAACTTAAAATAATAAAAAATTTCAATTAAACTTTTTCAAAAAAATTAATTTCAAAATTCAATTATTTAAATACAAAAATAAATAATTTATTGAATAATTGAATGTTTCTTTAAATCAATTTCTCATAAAGAATTTTATCAACAAATTTTTAAATAATTGAATTCTCTCCACGAATTTTAATAGGATTTTTAAAAATAATTGAATTCTTTCTTTTTCATTGAATTTTTAAGAATAATTAAATTCTTTGCAGGAATTCAATTAAAATTGTACTAAAAATAATTGAATTTTTTGGTGAAAAATTTTGCGATTTATAAAGATAATTGAAATGTTAGCGAGATTTTTTTTAAACTTGTAAATAATTTAATTTCTGCGAAGAATTTTATTATCTACTTTTGAAGATAATTGAATTTTTTTGTTATTTATGAAAAAAATTGATTTTTGCAATGAATTTTATTAAAATTCCCGAAAATAATTGAATTCCCAAGAAGAATTTTATTTCTTTTGAAAATAATTGAATTCCTAAAAAGAATTTTATTATTTACGAAAATAATTGAATCTATTTAAAACAATTGTATTATTTATGAAAATAATTGAATTATTGCGAAGAAATTTATAAAAAATTTGTAAATAATATTGAATTCCTGTGAAATTTTTATTATTTTATGAAAATAACCTTTAAAGTGCTATGCCGGTCTGACAGACCGCTATTAAAATTTTCTTTGCTTGTAACTTTTTTTCAAAGTATAATAAGAACTTGAACTTTTTAGTAGCTTCATATTTTATGAAAATCTGTTAGGAAACAACTTTTTCAAAAATTTTTATTCGTTAAATTTTGTAATATAAATAAATATTTGAAGTATAGCGGTCTGTGAGACCGGGGTTAGCTTTAAGTGAAAGTATATTCCAGTATATTCCCATGAGTGACGTCTGCGCAACTTGACGCGCAGCTAGTTCTACTGACAGTTCTCATAGACTGCATTTATAAAATAAATAAAATAAATAAATGCATAATACAGAAATGACTTTTTTTGTTAAAAAGTAAAAAATATTTATAATAGTTGTCTTTTAAAATTATAAATGACTAAAAAACTGTCAAAAGGGAATAGCGGTCTGACAGACCGGGGTTAGCACTGAGCGTGATTTTTCAACACTTAGCACTTTAAAGGATAATTAAAGGTTTGAGTAGAATTTTATTAAATTTTTTTTAAATAATTCAATTCTTTTGGACAATTTTATTAAAATTAGTAAATTTTAAAAATCATTGATTGAGGAAAAATGTTTGAAAATAATTTATTTTCGGAGAAGAATTTAATTATTTCTAAAGATAATTAAAATTTTGACAAGAATTTTAAAAAAAGGTTGAACATAATTGAATTTCTGCGAAGAATTTTATTACTTCTAAAAATAATTGAATTTCTGCAATCATTTGTAATTTCTCTAAAATTCTCCAAATTATATCGTACAATTTAAGAACTTTGAGGCCTGAATATAAAAAATAATTTTTTTCATTAGAAGCTTTGGGTGGTCAGTTTTACGTTGAGTGACCTTTTTATATTTTAATCACAGGCAATAGTATAACATTCATAGGGGGTAATATTCGGACCCTTCATTCAGAGCAATAAAAGAACAGAAATAATTTTGTTTAAAGTATAGTGCTTGGAGTGCTGCTGATGTTACTGCTACATAACCTCAATCTACTGTGAATAAGTGCATCTTTCTTTTCTTTATTAAATAGAGAAATAATGTATTTACATCGTATGTTCATGTGAATTTCTTTAGAGTCTCGTTGTTATTTTGTATCTAATGTGAAGGGTTCTTTCATTACCCTCGAACGTCGATGTAAAATTCAGTCAACATATTTAAGTTCATATGTCAACTTTATCAAAATAAATATTTAAAGAAAACTCCGAAATGTTTAACGCGATCATTAAAAATTCTTTACTAAATTCATTTTAAACATTAAGTAAACTTTGGAACAATTATTTATTAATAAATATTAAATATTATATACAAAAAAAACATTCATATTATTCAGAATCAGAATGTAAACAAACTAGGTCTAAAGGAGCGGCCACAACATTCCATCGACATCTTTTTATGGTGTGATTGCAATAGTGCGTAGAGACGACAAAAGATTCAATCCTAAGGGTGCGGTCACACCACTTGTTGTAAAAACTTTTCTTGTCTTTCTCTCTCCTATGACAGAGGCATTAGTTTGTCTCCTTCTACATTTTTCGTTTTTGGAAAAAAAGTAAGAAAATGTAGAGTGAGGAAAACTTATGCCTCTTAAGGTGCTTCTATACCTCCGGTGGATTGGTCAAGCAATCGGCTTGATGAATTTTCACGGTCGGAAAATGTACTTTCATGGTGGGTATTTTTGAATAAGTAAATGTTGAAAAGGTTTTTACTTGAAAATTTATTTAAAAAAATAATTTTATCATAGAAATTCTTTTGAAATTTATGTTAAAAAACATGTTTTATTTTAAAAGTTATCAAATTTTAATTCAAAATGTTTTAATTTTCCAAAGAAGTGTAAAAAGCCTAATGTTTTTGAAATGCTAGTACAGACGGTACAGACTGTTTGTTATGAATGTACATAACCTAGCGTTGTGTTGTCGTGCTTGTGATATTATATTCTAAATTTAATGATTTTATTATTATTATATTAAATAATAATGAACAGACAACACAACGCTAGGTTATGTACATTCATAACAAACAGTCTGTACCGTCTGTACTAGCATTTCAAAAACATTAGGCTTTTTACACTTCTTTGGAAAATTAAAACATTTTGAATTAAAATTTGATAACTTTTAAAATAAAACATGTTTTTTAACATAAATTTCAAAAGAATTTCTATGATAAAATTATTTTTTTAAATAAATTTTCAAGTAAAAACCTTTTCAACATTTACTTATTCAAAAATACCCGCCATGAAAGTACATTTTCCGACCGTGAAAATTCATCGAGCCGATTGCTTGACCAATCCACCGGAGGTATAGAAGCACCTTTATTGACTCTGATTACTTGCAATTACAATCAAATTAAAACTTCCACAATAATACACAGTCTGTCTCTCTTACTCCTTTCTTAAAAAAGACTTTTCTCTTTTCTCTTTCTTAAAAAAGACATTACAAGAAAAGATCGAATATATCGAAAAATATCGAAACAAAAAATAAACATCCTTTCTTAAAAAGGCATTACAAGAAAAGGTCGAATATATCGAAAAATATCGAAACAAAAAATAAACATTGACAATGTAAAAAGTGAATAGAAGGGCGACTCACATACATTTATAAAAATGAAATTTAGTTCCTTTCTTAAAAGACATTGCAAGAAAAGGTCGAATAATGTCTTTTTCACATAAATATATTATTTTTTTATTCTTAAAAAATTACACATTTTAAAATTCCCACTTTGAAAATGGATTTTCCATCGTCGGAAAATCTGCATGTTTGGTTTTTTCGGTAAAAATTTTTTTCTCTTCCAAGTGCAGAGGTGTAAATGCACCCTAAGGTTGAGTCCACAATAGGCACTTTTCTTAAAGTGATGCATACCATCTACATCGATTTCTATTGTTCGAACATCGCTTTAAGAAAAGTGCCTATTGTGGACTCAACCTAAAGGCTTAATTCAAGTTTTTTGTTCTCAAAACCATTGTGCTTAGGCCTTTATACTCCACGAGCACAAACTAGTTTTATATCTCAAATGTTGAGTGTTTCCTCATATTAATCATAACATTGACTGACATAAACCAATACTAATAAACAGCAGAACTGAATAGAACCCATTACAGTTATAAAGCTTCATAATTTCTATCAGTATATCAATAAAATTGTTTATACATCGAATATTGATTGTTTTTTTTAATACGATAAATGGTTAATTAAGATTTTTAACATTTTTCTATAAAACAAATAAAGTTTTTTTTGTTACGGAACTATAATTTTGTGCGGGTTTTTAAAATTCTTGTACCTAAAACGTTTAAATAGTTGATGTGTAAAATAGCAATATGAGGCTTACGAGAAGATGTTTAGGAAATCTGGGGACCATGACGAAGATGTTGGACTTTTATTCTCAGTTCAACCCTTCTCCACTTTCTATAAAACAATTCATTGATTTTGGTGAATATAGAAATTAATTGTCTTTATTATTATTATTATTTTCTACAAATCCAATATATTTACGTGATCTTGAAATATTCTAATCTAATCTTTTGATCTGATCGTATTTAATTTTTAATACGCATATTTTTTTTAATTGCTATTATCACCAGTTGGGTAATATTTAATTAAGTTTAATAGATGAAAATGTGGCTGAATTTTAATCGTAATAAATTATATTCTTTAATTTTTTCATTATGACTAATGTATTTTTAAATGAAATAAAAATAAATTAACGGTAATTCAGTAGTATAATTATTTATTATTTCTCTCTTTCTCTCATCTTCTGTGATCTCTGTTTCAAAACATTGATAACTTAAATAATAATTGTCATAAACGTTATATTAATTAAATTTACATTATAATTCAAATATATTTAAAATACGTTGACAAGACAAAGAGTTTGCAATGTGATGTCATGTTGCATAATTTTCACTCCTGTCCAACAACGAGCCTAATCTTTTGATTAGTGGCATTACGTTATTGATACGAATATTTTTTTTTCAATTATTTAATTACTTCCATTTTTGTCAGACTATTGCTGTACTTGAAAAAAAGGTTTTTAACGGCATTAAATTATATTTTTAATTAAAAATTTTTATAATTAGCTGCAGAATAATTTTTTTATTCTTTTCCATTCAATTACCAGTTTATGGTTTAATTATTTTTTTCATAATTTTTTTACGATAAGTATTAATCTGTGTAATGTTTTTGCTTTGAATATTAATTAAAATAAATTAAACTTCAAATTTTTAAAAAAAGTCCAATAAAAAGTTTATTTAAGCTATGTCATTTTTTTCTTTTTTTATTTAAAATTTTATTTATTATTTTAATTTAAAAATTTTTATTATAATTTATTTTAATAATCATTGATATTTTTTAAATTAATAATTTATATAAATACATACAAATAATATAATTCAAGTTATATAACATTGACATTCTAAAATTTAAAAATATTTATATCAGAAAAAAATTGAATTACATAATTAGACGTACAAGTCGTAAATGACGCATTGTATGACCAGTTGAAACTTTTGATTTCCTGAGATCGTTTACTTTTAACTTCCATCTATTTTAAAATTTCATAAATTTATAATTTCTATATTTAAACTCTCAACTTAAATAAAGGTTTATAAAACTAAAATTGTTTATTTTCTTCTAAAATTAAATACAATCCTTTAATACTTAAAAAAATTAAAGTTAAATGAAATTAAAAAAATAATTTTGTTTAAATTTAATAGTAAATATTTGTGGACGTATGAATGATAAGGTCTTATTTTGTCGGTTCTTATTTTCGAGATAATCGCTATTTATAGTATACGAAAAATGCCAGAAAAATAAAGAATAAATTGAATATCATTATTTTTAATTTTATGTTTCACAACTCTTGCAATAACTGTTTAATAATTATAGTAACTGATTATTTAACTATAATAAAAATATGATTTAATAAAAAAGAATTTTTTACAATAAAATAATATATATTATATACATTAAAATAATATTTTCTAAAAAATATTAACATTTTTTATCAGTACGAAACAAAACAGAGAACTCCAGAAGTTTTAATGGAAACATACTATTTTAGAGTATATAGAAAAACCGTGGAACAAACTTTTTGCAGTTACTATACATCAACTTAAAAAAAATAAATAATGACATTTTTAAATACATTTTTTCTTACTAAAAATGTCATGTACATGATAAAAAATATTGTTTAATAACAATATGCTTTATTATATGAACATATGTTTGTTTCGTCTGCCATGTTCAGTTTGTATTTTTAAATATCAGTAAGTGTCGAATGTTTTCATTAAAACCAAAAATAATAAGGAAACGTCCATTATTTTATTAATAATATTAACTTATAACACAGACATTACAATATTCAAATTTTTTCAATTAATAATTTTCTTATTTATATTTTAAATGTTAACGTTTTTTTTTGACAATGCAAAATAAGATTTATTATGAGTACTTTCTGTTAAAAAAAATAAAATTTATATATATTCGCACTCTTTTTAAATAACACACGACTGTAGCTCTATCTGCACATGTCCAAATAATATTGAAAACACCCTTCTATTAAGATTTTACATTCTCATTGCCCATTCTTTATTTCGATACTTTTCGATACATTCGACCTTTCCACTTCATGTCTTTTTTAATCACTTCGGTGGTGTGGCGTTCCAATTGGCGTTCCACGTCCCTGGCCAGAAGTGGCGAAAATAGCGAAATAGCGTTCCGACTTTTTCTAGATTTTTAAAGAGTATATTTAATTTTAATCTACTGCAACAATATATTTCTATGTTTTCAATATCAGGGAACACAAAAATGACAATAAAAATTTGTTTTTTTTAAGAGTTTCATTGTTTTTTTGGACGTTGCAAATTGGCATTTTTAATACTTTTCTACGAATGGCGTTCCACCTTCGATCAAATATTGATAAATAAACTCAATATCTTTCTATGGGAAATAATATTTATATATATCTTAGAATCTCTGAATCGTAGAATTGTGTTATAGAACCATTTGTAAATTGTTATAAACAAATTGTTAATTATGACGATGCGTTCAATGTATTTCAATAAAAATTGTTACTCGGGGGTTTTTGGTGTCGCTGATTACGAATCCGATGTCAGTTTTTCAAAATTTAAAATGACGGATCCAATATGGCGGCCAATTACAAACAATCACATGGTTAAAACGACGAATTTAGTCGATTAACTCCATTATTGTGAAACTTATTCACATTGTCAATCTAGCCTAATTCTTTTTCTGACAGTGGCCACTTTTATATTTCAAATGGTAATCCTTACTATTTTGACTATTTGTTCCTAAAAAAGTTTACTTTATTAGGGTTAAATTTGCACCTATTGCTAATTTAAGAATAAATCTTTGCCATTTCAATAAAATCGGCTATATAACCACCTTGTTGTTTTCGGGGTAGAACATTTTTTCAGTGATTTATAAAAGGTTATAATTAGCTAAAAAAACGTGACAACGTTGTCATCTAATATCTTTGTTTCTTAAATGTTGGTAACAGTGTCGTGTAAAAAATTATTTTTCTTTAAAAAATTATTTGTTCATTATTTTTACGGAAGCTTCTATACGCCACTCGTGAACTCGCTCGTGCAATGAGGAACGTATTGAAGAACCTGCCAGTTCCTAGGTTCCTCTCTGCGTTTTTAGATGTGTTCCGGGATTATTTAAAGTTTTTTTTTTAAATTGTTAACTTTGAGTTAATTTTCCTCAATATTTAAGATTTTTTTAATAAACTTGAATTTAAAGTAAGTAAATCTAAAAATTCAATTTTTGGGAAAATCATAGTAAACTAACAAACTTTTCTGGGACAACAGCAACAGTAAACAGTTTGCACAAATATTAATATTTGTTTTGATTTGTCAACCAAAAGGTGTCTTTGACTTATAAAAATTATTTATAACATTCCATATATTCCCAGAAGACACTGAGATATTCGGATTACAATTATTAATTTCGTTTTTCTTGAAATGAGGATTTTAGCATTTCAAACTTTGAAATTTTATAACTCAGCGATTTATGCATCTAAAGTAACGTGAGAACTCTCAAAATTTTGATATATGTTAAATCTAAAGACAATTTTGCTTATAACAAAATTTGTTGTTTAAACAAAATTGTCTTTAGATTTAAAATATCACATATCAATTGAGTACGATAAGAGGTAAAATGACGCTAATGTATGTTTGTAACAATTTGCTACATGGGGAGATGGGGGAGGGGTTAAAATTTTCAAAAAGAGACTGTGCGTAGAGTTTTTTTGTGATTGTTCGTAGACTGCAATTTTTTATTAAGCTTTCCAAATTCCTCCCTATCGTACGAGGCTATGCGGTGTTTGTGTTCTCCGGTTCAACTTCCCGTGTCTGCGAGATTTTTTAATCTTAAATCTAAGTCTTTGTATAATTTTAATAATATGAAATAAAATATAAGTTTAAATAACATTTAATATATAATTGTTAATAACGATAGTAACAATTAAGTAATGAATTTAACCCTTTGAGGACCAGTGTTGTTTTCAGGCAACATGAACATTTTTTTATTAACTCGGGCATAAATTTCTTAATTTTCAAAACTGAATATTGAAACAATAATTTTCACATAGTCTGGAAAATTTCGTATCACAAACACTGGTCTTTAAGTAAAAAACTTCAATAACTTTCCCTGAAAAGTTTGCTTAAAAATGAAAAATCGCGATTTTTTAAGAAAAAATTTGGTCCTCAAAGGGTTAAATAAATAACTTGTTCTGTTAAACATATAATAGAAAAGAAATGAAAAAATATAAATACAACACGTAGGGGAGAGTGGGGCAAAGGCGCTAGGTTTACATTTATCGATGTATATTTTTTAAATTAAGCAATTAATTTATGCGGTCTTTGTTTTTCATTATTCTAAAACTAATCAACAAGAAATTTTAATAGTTGTTATTTAGTATATTATAATTATAAATACATTATTTAATGAAATTTAAAAACAATGGAAAAAATGCCTTTGCCCCACACGCTGGGGCAGCGACGTTTTCGCTTATATTTCTAAAAGAAAGCATTTATAAGCCTTAAAAAAATTAACAAGTGCCCTAGTAGCACATAACATTGGGAACATTCCAGCAATATGCCACGACATTAAGGCAATATTGGTAATATTAAGGAAATGTTCTCAATATCGCTGTAATATTACGTGCTACTGGGGTGATATTTATTAGTATAATATTTACGAAACATAAGGTTAACAACATATTATTATTAAAAGAATTAAACTATTTAAATAAAAAATAAAAACTTTTAGTGATTTTAACCTTATATTGTGAATTAATACATAGAAAATTCGAATATTCAATTGTTTTTAACCAAATTATGTTCAATATTGCCTCTGCCCCACATAACAAACTTTTTTTTTACTTTAAATTTAAAATATTTAGATACAAAATTAAACTAAAACACCACTCCATCCAGTTGTGTAGAGAAATATTTAATTTATTTACATGTTACGTTTTTAAAAATTAAATACTTAAACTTATGTTTTAAAAAATAAAAGCTTGTTCAGTAAAATTATCATTTTATTTTTGCAAAACTATTTTTTTGTTATATTTCTTAAAATATTTGATATTTCTAGGTTTTTCTTTTTTTAATCAATTGGTCTGATTGCATTGCAACTTAATTTTTAATACCAATTGGAATAGACAGAAAATAAAGGAGATATTTTAAAAATCGTCTTTGCCCCGCATAGCGCCTTTGCCCCACTCTCCCCTATAAGATGTACATTAAATATAATAACGTAAAATAAAAATTACATATAAATATTAAATAATAACAATATATTTGGAACATTTTTCGCTAAGTAGGCTACCCCATCTCTCCATTTTTGTTTTTATAAGAAAATTCAAAATCTTTTAGAAAAATGAGCTTAAAGACCTATTTTGAATGCATAATTTGCGGTCAAAATTAAAGAATAACCGGATTGTCTTGAAATATGTTACTCTGGAGTTTTTGAAGTCCCTGATTACGAATATGACATCAATTTTTCAAAATTTTAAATCACGGATCCTGAAGTTCGAGTTTTACTATTGCATATGCATACAAATATATATTTATAAACGTATATAATGTAATTTTCCTAAACCAAAATAGTTTAATTCATATTTTTTATTAATTTTTAATTATGGACTTTTTCTGTTGCAGGCCTGAGTGCATGTGAAAGAAAATCATTTATCTTTTTACGAAAAGAACTTCCGGTTCGATTAGCAAATATTATGAAAGAAATCCATTTGCTACCAGAAAATTTATTAAGAACCCCTAGTGTTGGGGTTGTTAACAATTTGTATATAACATCTTTTGAAGAAATTATACATTTTGAAAAAGCTGATGTCAATAACACAACTTTGGACAAGTAAGTTTAAATTTTATCAATACTTTATTAACTCCTAATAATCATAGTTATGTTTACATCATATAACACTTTTTGACACCCTGATTGATTTATTTTCTAATTTACGATATTCAAAGTGCACGAGCTAAAGGTTTTCCTAAATATATTAGATAATTTAGATTTAGATATTAGATAATTAGATTTTTATACTGAAGGAATAATTATATCTACAGTTTGTGTTTTTTTAAACATGTTTCATATTGATTTCTCTACTCATCGTTTTTATTAAATATGCATTAAATATATAAAGCAATAAAAGTAATGCTTAGAGACATACAGTAAGGAAAGCTTTCATTTAATTTCTTAATACTATTACAAATTCATTATCATCATCCAGTTTTTTTGAAAATCATGAATATTTTCAGCAAGATTTCTCAGATTATATAACCACCTTTGTTTCATTTCCTACAAGAAAACATATTAATTTGACTAACTTTTTTTCTTACTTTCAATAATTGATTAAAAAGGTGGGAACCTTTTCTATTATTAACCTTCGTTAAATCGATGTCAATATCACTTTCTATTTCTTTTTTTATTTGTCGATGCAAAGAGTATGAAAAACACTCTGTTCTGAAATACGAGTGTAGTAGTATTTTTCTCTGTCAAGATATAAATTTCCTGACATCTATGTCTTTGAGCAACTGGAATATTGAAAAAAGAATCATGACCTATTTTTGGAATACGTCCTAAGGATGTCTTAAGGACGTCCTAAAGACATCCCATGTCCCAGTGCCTACAGAGAACTAGACATATTTTAAATAAGCTTTGTGTCATAAAAAGTTAAAAATTTGATTCTCTCCATATCTTACAGTTATTTTAAAAAATTAATAATTTTTGGTTTTTGAAACTGAATTCAACAAGACTAAAGTTTGTGTTAATTTCAAACCTGATCCCAAATGATGAAAACCGAGATGAAAACTTTAACCGGTATACTTCACTGGGAATGCCACAAATATAAACATGAACGTTTGTTGCAGATTCTGTCAAGCTCTCATCAAAATAAGAAACAGGCATACTGACGTAGTAGAAACTATGGCGAGGGGTGTTTTAGAATTGAAGGAATCACATGACGTAGATGTCCAAACAGAAAACAGTATTCAGTACTTTCTAGATAGATTTTTTATGTCTAGGGTGTCGATTCGAATGCTTATAAATCAACACAGTAAGTAGAAAGTTTATTTCATTTTTATTGTTTTATTTCTTTTCACACCAGAAAAATTTGTGAATTATAAAATTACGTTTTAAGACAAATCATTTATACGTAAATAAAACGGGTTTTAAGTTTAATTTTTCTTTTTGATTTAAGAAAAACAAAAACGTGAAAAGAATTGAGTAAACAAATAAATGGGAGATTGATAAACGCATAGAAATGTTGCTTAAGAAAGATTTTTGGAAATTTTTAAATCAATTCGTTAAAACACAAAATTTATATAATTTTTAAAAAAGGGCGTGTTGCGCGTAGACGTCAACACTAGACGTAAACACTAGAGACGTAAAAAGCGATCTATTTTTAGATTTTTATCATTCACATATTACGCAGTTCATTTATTTGAACGCTTTTTTTCTTTTAATAATAATAACATTCATATAACAACTTGTAAGTTTGTTTTACAAATTTTAGAGTTTTTGTAATATAGATTATCAGTGTAAATAACATTTTGAATTAGTTTCCCTCTTTTTACAACATTTTTAATTACGGTTACTTGCGCATTTCAAGAGCTCGCGGAATCACACGCAGCACAATGGGGCCAAATGTACCTTTTGTGTCAAAATCAGTCTAGAGGTCATTAATATCATTAATTTTTAAATTGTTTAAACAATTTTTTATTTTTACTTGTAAATTTTTTTAACATTAACCAACAAAATTCTATTTTTTTACATTTTTTAACATTTTATGCAGGAAATAATTAAATATAATTAAGTACAAAAATAAAGGGTATTGTGTAAATATTTAACAATTGTTTAAACAAATTAATGATTTTTTTTATTAAATTGTATTTAAAAAAATTTAAATTTCGATTTTTTTTAATCTTGTAATTTTTTCTATTTAAGTGAACTAAACTCAAAAATGTGGCTTGCAAATGATAATTTTTATAATTATTTAAACAAATTATTAATATTTTTAATTTTCAATAGAATCAAGATACTAATTTAAAACTTTTCAATGAATTTTCAAGAAATAAAAAAAAACTCTTGTAGATATTCCAGCAGCTGATTTGATAAATACTTGTACTTCGGAATTGAAAAAAATGAGGGACAATGTTTTACTAAATGAAGATGAAGATGATGAAGCAAAATTAAGAAATGCCAACGAACTAAATCCTAATGAAGCACTAGCTTTATTTGTTGATGCAAAATTAACAAAAGCTTAATATGAATTAATAAGGGAAAAATTAATAAAAACAAATTTTTTCTTATTCTCATCTTTTAAAAAAATCATTGATGCAAAAAAATGTTATCTACCTATTTAAATAACCGAAAACAGGGCTTTAATTTGTCTTCAGGATCTTCTTGAGCACATTGTAGAAAGAATGGTAGAAATGGAAGATGTTAATAACTTGATTTCAAATTATGGTGAAAAGTATTTTCTAATGATAACAAAATATGTTGGTGATGACTGCTCCAGTTTTAACCCGTACAAGCAAAAGTTTGAAGATTTAAATAATTCAGACAGAAGTGGTATTATGTTATCAGCCGTTCCCTTATGCTTAAAAGCTGATAAAGAAGATCCTTCTGCAGAAATTATATGGTAAAATCCACGAACTTCTACAAAATTTTGTAGACCAATTCTATTTGAATTTGTTGAATCTAAAGAAGTTATTTCATCGAAAATTGTCAATGTTGCCAGTCAAATCGAAAATCTAAAACCAACTAATGTATCTTTAAATGCAGGAAACAATGTTATAAACGTAAAACACAAGCTGTTATGCACAATGGTAGATAGAAAAGTTGTGCAAACTTTGACAAATGCTTCATCTCCAAGTGTTTGTATTGTTTGTAAAACAAAACCCTCTGAAATGAATGACCTGGGAGCAATCTTAGAAAAAGAACTTGATTTATCAACTTTTGAGTAAGGATTACAAGAATTACATGCTTGGATTCAATCTATGGAAATGGTACTCCATATTTTATATAAATTAGAAATGAAAGTTTGATCAGTTGGAAATAATTCTGACAAGATTAAAGTAGATGCTGCTAACAAACGAATTCAGGAAGAAATTCGTAAGAAGTTAGAATTGCTTGTCGATATGGTAAAGTAAGGAACTGGATCAACCAATGATGGAAATACCAGTAGAAAATTTTTGGAAAATTACCAGGAAATTTCTAAAATTACTGGTTTTTATGAGGAATTGCCAAGAAGGATTTATTTAGTGCTCCAAACTTTGTCTTATTAAAAAGAAATTGATGTTGAGTCTTTCCGTAAATATTGTTTTGAAACTGCAAAGCTCCTTGTTGAAAAGCACCCATCGTATTATATGCCTGCATCAATCCACAAAATTCTCATACATAGAGCAGATATAATAAATTCTTTAGTTGTTCCTGTTGTCCAATCATCAGAAGATGTGCCAGAAGCTAGAAACAAAGATCTTAAAAGGTGGAGAGAAGAAAAATGACAAAAAACTTACAGAAGAGACACTAATGAATATCTAATACATATACTTCTAATATCATCTGATCCCTTAATTGCAAGCAAAAGAAAAGATGTGAAGAAGATAGAAAAAGAATTACTTTCTGAAGCAAAATAATTGCTTGTAAAATAAATTTTTTTTCCACACTTCGTCACACACAGCTTGACACCACCCTACCCTTAGACGTGTGACGTAGTTTGTGAACGATCCTTCATTTGTTTAAATAATTATAACAATTATCATTTGCAAGCCACATTTTTGAGTTTAGTTAATTTAAATAGAAAAAATTTCACGATTAAAAAAATCGAAATTTTAATTTTTTAGAATAAAACTTACCAAAAAACATAATTAATTTGTTTAAACAATTGTTAAATATTTACACAATACCTTTTATTTTTGTATTTAATTATATTTAATTATTTCCTGCGTAAAATATTAGAAAATGTAAAAATTAGATAAATTTAAAATTGTTTAAACAATTAAAAAATATATGAAATTAATACTAAATGTTTATGTGTTAATTACCTATTAAATTTTGGGTAAAAAAATTAACTACAAATTGAATTTTTTCAATTATGTTATTTTTTTGATAAAGAATTTAATGGGGCCATCCATAAACCACGTAGGGAGGGGGGTCAAGCAATTGACTACGACAAGAGGAAAAAATGGCGCTAATACATGTAATAGCGTACTACAAGGGGGGTTAACATTCCCGAAAAATGGGGCTACGTGGTTTATAGATGGCCCCATTAAATTCTCTATTGAAAAAATTCAATTTTTAGTAAATTAAGTAACGAAGATTTTGAAAAAAATTTTGTTTAATTTGAATGAAAATTGTGACCTCTAGACTGATTTTGACCCAAAAAGTAAATTCGGCCCCTCTGTACTCAGGCACGCTTACACATTTTAACCGGAAGTCACATCAGGGTGGCGAGTGAAAACGGTTTTTGAAATTCCCTGTCTTTTCCCTGTCCAAAAACAAAATTCCCTGTCTTATAAACCTACTAGCTGTCGTACCCGTCTTCGACGGGTTTTAGTTTCTTCAAATACATTAAATAGTGTGTCTACCAGTCTCGAAAAATGGGAAATAGCGGAGAATTTAATTTGACCGGAAAAAATAATAATTATAGCTACCATTAACTATTTCATTAGATAAATATTACTATTTTAAATCAGTGATTGACTTTTTATCATTAAATAATTTATTTTTAATTAATTAAAATGCAGAGAACAATGTTTGTCAATTATTTGTAGAAATTTAATTATTGTATTATAAGTTAATCCAAAATTTCCACCAGTTTTTGGAGTTACAATGAAGTCAAATTCGAACTAATTGTATCAGCTGGGAGTATAATAAATTATGGATTTATAATAAACAAAATTTACAACATAACTACTTTTTAAATATCCAAACAAAATTTCCATCCACAATTAATTGTATCATAATTGCTAAAATCTAAAATAAGACCTATATTGCAGGCTGAATTCACAGTTTTTCCCGATTAAATTAAATTCCTGCATATTTCCCGTTTTTTCCAGTTGGTAGAACCCCTGTTAAAAGTATCAGTAAAAACAAAAACCCGCCGAAGAGTATTTTCATAAAATAAGTGAATTTTTGTAGCCATTTGTAGATTTATTTATTGTTAATACTTATCAAGAAAATTTATATTTGATGAGAAAAGATACACCTGGAAAAATTTGGACAAAGCTGGGAAAAACCGGATAGTTTGTTAAACAAAAATAATAATAGACACCTTGTTTAACTTTTGCCTTTACATAATGCTCAAAACATCTCTAAAAGTTAAATCAAGAATTAAAATAACAAAACTTTTTACTATCTAAGTTTTTTCCCAGTAGCATAATGCAAGTATCGCAGGTATCACAGGTATTCTTGAATTTCTGCAGTATCAATTTTATCATAAAAAATCTCCATTTTTAATATTTTCGAAATTTTTGCAATTGAAAATTGTTGATTAATTGGATAAACAAATAATTCTAAATTCCATTATTTTGAAGTCAAAAGTTTATCAGAGACCCCAAAAATACTACTGAATTAAGCTTGATAGTAATTGGTCTGTCAATTATAATTTTTCAATTTTTTTATATTAAAAACATTTTTATACTTATACTTCCATCTTATAGTTACAGGACAGTATTTTTTCAAAATTATGCTAAAATATGACAAAATAACATGTAATATTTAATTACTGAAAGTTTAAAAGATATACAATAAAAAATATAAAATTTGGAAATTTTCAATTTTTTTAATTTTTTGGAAAAATTGAATACCTCCCGTTCTAATTAATATGTTTAAAATCTGTAAATTTATTGTTTATATATATCTTATAAAAGTTATAACTGATTAATTTACAGCAATCTGTCAAAATTTTAAAAAAAAATTTCGAATTTTTTGGAAAATTTATAAGGGAAGTGTTCCGGTTGTGGGCACCCTTTTGTTTTTGCCTCATAACATTTGTCCATGTGCATATTATACAAATATATGTGTACGAATTTAAAGCTAGAGGTCTAAGGT